AGAAATGGCATGGAAACAGAGATCAGCATCGCTTCATAAAATCAGTGACGCTAAAAATGGCCGCTGGCATAAAAATGCGATGGCGACTCTTCCAGACGGTTGCAAACTTCTGTTTTTCGTTTAGATTTACGCCACATTTTGTATGATGTTTTGTTTAAAGGCATTACCAGTTGTACTAGAGCTGAAGCAGTTAAACTGTTTTTTTATGAAATCAGATCACAGAAATATAAGACATTTTCTGTATAATTCAATTTTTACAGTCAGAACGGTTAATTCCGATCGCGCGCTCAGTTCTGAAAATGCCATGTTGTCACCAACCCATTGGAACAGCAGGACTGAAGATTCTTTGTATGGGCTGATCCGTATCATCTACTATGTTTATTCACACGGTTATCATTGTAATTAAAGATTAAGGCTGATGAATCTCGAACACTTTAGTTGTCCGGCTGGGTGATATCCAATGTAAGACTAAATACAGATTCTCGATGCAGCTCTTGGTCTTCTGCAGGTCAGCCCCTTTATTCCACCATCTAGTTCTCCTGCTTTTATGTCATAGACTTTACTCGATCTTTACTATCTTCAGGAGTAATATGCTATAGTTTTGTGGCCGGTTTTGTTTTATGTTGTATGCGTTCGGGCCAAAAATAGCACAGAATCTTCGTGCGTTGCATGATTAAACGCTGATAACAGTGGTTGAAGCGATTTGAAGGGGAGAGGGGTGGTGGCGGGGGGGGGCGTATATACCTCTCTTTCACAGAAATGGTGGTCATTGGATTTTACGGTGAATAGGACATTTGAATTCTTATGAACTAAATGTGACTGATTTTCTAACGCGAGAATCATGACACTGTGCTTGCCAGATTTTCAGTCCTATCACAATTCTTATGACCCGGTGGTGTATTTTTTCCTTCTTTATTTAATGTCAGTTTAGTACCATTTTAGTCTTATTAGTTAATCTTATTAGGCTGACTTAGTTTGTAATGATACCATTTTTAGACAGTCTTCATTCCGTTACGGTCTGTCTTCTGCAATAAATAAACATTTTTTGAACTGGATACAGACTTCAAAAGCTCGACATTTTTGATATTTAATGTATTTTTTCACTGCTTACGATGCTCGCATTTTTGAATTTTGACTAATGATAAAGTTTGAAAACGGTTGGTGCAGTTGCTTTATATTTAGGCAGAGTCTAGTCAGAAAAATGCGCCTGAAACGTCTTACGGTGACGAGAAGCAAGCAGCGACAGTACCTAAGAATGAAGTAAATATATCAGCTTTGAAAATCCAAATAATGAAATAACTTGTTACATAAATACACCGATAAACGGAAATGCTGTCCTTAATTAATGATAAATCTTTCTGAGCGAGCCAGGGAAATTTCTTTATTTACTGACTACAACAAACTTAATTATTTGTACACTTTGAAGAAAACAGAAAAGGCGAAAGTAGATGCATTTGAAGACATCTGGTCAATCGAAACAACAGTGCGAGGGTTTTAAGTGCAAGAGTGAAATATTAAGGGTAAAGATCAGAAGCTGAGAACAGTGTTGTGAGCCGTTTAAAATTCAGGTTTCCAAGAGGTGTTGAAACTGATATCAGTAATACTTAGGAAGATACACCAGTTTACATTTTTCCTCGGTTTTCAGGCAGAAGGAGTCATGATTCAGCATTGAGAGATGCGTTCGCTTGTGAGCAGATTTTTCTCCAGAGAGACATCACAGTGGGGAGGGTGTTGTTATGTTGCAGTAGCTTAGTCGCGTTGTTAAGATGCCAAATAAGAGATGTCAAAATGGACTATACCCAAAGCCCCATGTTACTTAGGTCCAAATAACGCAGGTAGGTATAATGGACACATGGCATAGCATTCCTTCAGATTCAGTGCTTGGCTCTTACTCGATTGAACGAGCTATAGGACCGTTAGAGAGGCTTTTTTATGCTGCTGCTACAGGAATGTGTAAATAACAGCAGACATTCAAAATGAGCTTGGATAATGCTAAGACAGAAATTTCTTCAAGAAATTGATCATTATATGAGTTTTCTCCTTGTCAAATCCACTGATTTAGTAGTTTGCTAGGAAATCCATAAAAACAGGGTTTATTTTGGGATAGGAAATTTTTTGTTGCTTTTTTGCGATCATCACCGTGAACCCTTTGCATTAGCCGAAGTGATGTCCAGCGTATCCGCAGCTTTTCACATTACACTTTCTACGTGCAGGGTACTGCATCGCAGAAGGACATATTACTCTCTGCTTCTGCATTGCTTGCTGGTCTCCTGTCAGATGTGCCATGTTTTTGCTTCCACGTGTAAAGCTCAAAGGCTGGATTAAATCGCATGTTTAGCCATTTTGTCTAACGGGGCCAACCTTCTTAATCTTCGCATCTACAGAGGTCACCAGTGCCCGGAAGAGAAACGATTCATGGTTCTACGTGATCCTGCCATTTAGCCTGCATTTTGCGTCAAAGTCCATGCTGCTGTACGCAGTTTCACGGTCGTTTTTCCTGCTTGTTAGATGAAATATGTCTATACCGTACAACATCTCTGAAATGGCAGTGGCCAGGTACGTCCTGATTTTTTTCTGGGAGAGCAGATACCTTTCTCAGCAAAAATAGTGGACAGGTTTCCTTAAGCACGCGAAGTTAGGGTTGTCCTCTTATTTAACTCTGGCTGGATAATGTCATCACTGGAGATGATATTTAAACTGGTTAACCTCCGGAAGAACTTTACCTCCCTGTTCCACCCTGTAGATCAGCTGCATCGCATGGGTTCATTATGACTTTTGATTTCTTTGCGTTAAAGAAGAGGCGGATTTCGGATCTGTGTTTCGCATGGATGCCCTCACGTAACAGAGCCCGCTTCCATACTACACATCAGAACAATATCATCTGCTTATTCCAGGTCAGCAAGATATCTAACAGTGTCTCGACCTGCGCCTTCTAGAATGAGATCGTTATCTGTGCGACGGATAGCCCTGTTTCACAGATGAAAGTCAAAAACTGTTGAATAGTAAGGACAAATGCACATCTCCATGGCGAGCAAGAGGTTTAATAGGGAATCACTCCTGTGGCTCTTCAACTTGGACAGCAGAGATTGTTCCTTGGTACATCTCTTCCGACATTGAAACTATAAG